TAATTATTTATATGACTGAGATCAGGAGTGTGGAGTTCTTTTTCGAATTCTGCAAGTTTGAAGATTATGTAAATTAGTTTCTTCACAAACTTTAGGCATTAAAATTTTAATAGTTTTCTCATGCATAAAAATATGAAAGATATTAAGCAATTATTTCTGAGTAATATTGTCAACTTTTATATATAATTATAATAATTCAACAGACCAATCCTAATAAAACTTCACAACAATTTTTATTTAAAATAACTCGAAGACTAGTTATTACACCGATATTTTGAACGTACCACTCATAAAACCTTTTAATATTGTCAACAGATGGAGACACAAATTATAAGGAGATTGAGAGAAAAAAAAATGATTCCGATTTTGCTTTCCCTTATAATGGTGATAAAATAACAGTTTGGTTTGTTATGAATTTCGCGCAAAGCTACACGAGGGCTATCTCCGCTAGCCGTCCCTAATTTAGCAGTGTAAGACAAGAGGGAAGACAGCTAGTCATCACCACCCGCCAACTCTTGGGCTACTCTTTTACCAACGAATAGTGGGATTGACCGACACATTATAACACCCCCACGGCTGAAAGGGTGAGCATGTTCGGTGGGATTGGGAGTCGAGCGCCTTAACCACCTGGCCATGCCGGGCCCGATAAAATAACAGAATTGTATTATATTTTGCACATAATAACCAGAAGCATCTCCTTTGTATTGAATGGAATTATAACGTATTTGAGATGTACTGAATACTATTTTAAATTTGTTGAAAGCAATTTCCTCAGTTACGTTTTTGTAACACTTTTTAGGGTTGTCTTCCCTTTCCTATGCTATAATAATTTTGAGATTACAAACAAAAATTACGTTGACCTGGACAAATTTGTTTCTTTTGTGAGAATGACGGATTCAAGTGTTGTAGAAACATAACAATATTTTATGGCATCCTGATACTGCTTTACTGTTAAAAACTTTAAGTATTCCTAGTAAATGTTGGTTAACTAAATTTATGTTTAATACCCATAAACCTCACGATACTTTACAGTCCTCGTGATGTTTGATTCGTGAGTATTTAAAGTTTAGGTTTCCTGTTTCTCTCAACGAAAAGAATGGCGTTATAAATAATATACACAATGACCTGTAACGTCGTGTTTAGATTTGCATTACAGAGCACAAAAAATCAGCTTTTCCCTGTCATTAAATCGAAGCACTACACTACTGTACTGGTTTAACATATTCAGTCCCTTGAGTACAATCATGAAGTATGTGGGCGTTTATCAAAACGTGATCTTCATGATTTCAAAACAAATCAGTCTCCCTTTGCTCCGAACGTATTTGCGTATGTGCCATGTTGTTACAAATTTGTCCACTAGAGGTAACCGACCGGCACTATAGGATCAATGAACCTAATTGTCCCCTACAGTTTGGTGGTTAGTGACTTCGATTCGTCCTACATAGGGTAATTTTAAAGACAGTTAATCTCCTAGCGGGCTTACTAAAAGAAGGGGTGGGGCATAAAAATGAGGAGTGAAACAGAAGTATAAATAAACCTCATTTGTTTTACAGAATACAAGATATTATATAAAGATATTCAGGTGTTTTGAAATTCTGTTATCTGTGTTCACGTGTATCGTATCTTAAACCTGATTCTTGCCAGTCACTTACATTAAAAGTATGCCGAATGTTGGCCAGTTACGTACTTTATACGGGTGGGTCGTTGTACTGCTCACAACAAGTTCCACTACAGTAAAATAATGTGGTTTTAGGTGCAAACAAACTTAACAGTTCTTTTTATATAAGCTGTCATGGCCGTTAGCTAAGAAGAATGGTGAACTGGCACACGAACATGTTTATTAGTAACAGGAAATACAAAATTCTTGTTTAAAAATTTCTTTTTTTTTTAAATACCTTGTTATCCAATAGAAACAGGAAATGATTTAAGCCTATGCACAACGGTATTTCTAACATAGTGCAATATTATTAAGATGTCGAAGGATCAATTTGACGTTTTACTTGCAATTTCGTATAATTATTTCATTTTAAATGGTAATAAGACTTTATTTTGATTACAAAACCAAGGGTCGGCTAATTGCTTATTGATTTTAAAACCTGTAAAACAAACGGCTCATTTAAGTACAAAAAAAAGCATTAATTTTCATTCTTTTGTTATTTCACGTTATTTAAATTAGTACTGATTAACTGAAAACCATTTGTTCATTAAAAGTTGGGTATATTTATTGTTTTGATGGCAATATATTCTTTGATTCTTACGCTTTTTCATTGGAAGCTGATAAAAGAATGTTCTTTTTTAATGGGAATATCACCCTTATTTTTCATGTGTGCTAAGACTCGCGAGTTGCTATACAGAGAAAATGGCGCATGTTTATCTATTCTTTGACGTAAATATCTGGTAGAAGAACTTGTAGCTTTTTGAGCACAAAGAACGCGGGTATTTGTAAACAATTGGTAACTTTATTAATTTGAAAAGTTTAGCTTTATAAGACAAAAATATGACAAATTAATAAAAGGGACTTCTGAAAACAATTCTGAGAGTAATCCGTTGATAGGCTTTTTTAAAAAGTCCCACAAGGTGTTCTTGTTAGGCAAACGATCTTTTATATAAAGATTGTTTCCATGTTTTAGAGTAAAGCCACATTGAGCTAACTGTTGTATTCAACTCGATGAATCAAACCCTGGATTTTTATGCTGTAATTCTGTAAACTTACCGCTGTACTACCGGGTGACTTTATCAAAGGAAGACAGAACTAAGCTTAGGTTGTGTTTTATTGCAGTGGAAAGAAGTGTAAACTTTTGTTTGTGTAAGGATTGATAAAAAGTATTTTTCGTATTCCTTTCAATGTACTCAAGAAGGAGATATCTCATATTTCTGAAGTATCAGTCTGATGTTGGAAGGTTCTTGTTAAGACAAAGATGAACTGCTAGCGAGACCAAGAGCTTCAGATATTAACATTTAAATTAAATTACTTCTGACAAGCTTTAATGAACTTATTACTCAAAAGTTAAATTCATTTGAACCTTCAAATTATTCTAAATTATGTTCTCCCTTTTTTATTAAAAAGTTTGTTAGGTAAAGCTCAATTAGGCACATATACATAGATGACGATTTTTTTCTGACCTTTTTAACTTAGTTACTGTCTGTTTTTGGTGTGTTTTTTAAGTTCATTGGGCGAATACAATATAGGAGTATTTACGAACTTTGCCTGATAAACTAAAACGGATAATAAAAAAAGGAAAAACAATAGATAAGCTCTACTCTATCCACATATCCATTTATGCCTATCTCAGTTAACTCACCCATCAAGTTTAACTGTCCATCCAAGTGTAATCTATCTTTCTCTTTTCAATTCTGCTTCTGTTTCATTCATTCTTTTCATATCTAGTCTTGATATCTTTTCCCTATCCATTTTTTATTTACTACTTCTCAATCCGTTTTTTTCTCTCTGTTGCTTTTTTTTGGGGGGGGGGAGGCTTGTCGATGTATAAAGGTATAGTTTTCTTCAAATTTCTGCTCAGAAGTTGGACATTGTACTTTTTTATTCTTTTAAATTCGTGGTGTAGTTTTGGCGAACCTCTGTAGAAAACGATTAACAACTAGTTGAATTTCTGCTAAACACATTTATACCAATCTATGCTTGTTTCCCCCTATGAAAAAAATATACTTATTTTTCAACATTTCTGATCCAAGGACGTCCAGGTTTATGTGTAACGAGTCGTACTCTAGTTTATTAAAAAATATAGAAGTTAGGCCTTCGTAGACAACCTACTTTTCAAGATAACTATCAAGGGATGTCGCATAGCGGGAATAGCTAGCGCCCTCTGTTCTCCTACTGCGTAACTTAAACAATTTGGCATAACCTTGGGTTATTAAATAGTTGTCTCACTTACATCAGGCGATGTGGTTGAATAAAATAAAATTATCTGAAAATGTGAAGGATTTATAAAGTGTGGAAAATAATAAAATTTAGGTGTGTACATAGCTGTGCCCATTTTTTAAAATTTTACAACCGGAAAATTAAGCTTGCATTGAAATTAAGCCAGAAAGTGTATTAAAAAGTTTGTTAACTTTTTAGTAATTTCTAAAGAATAAAAATATGTATAAAGTACTCAAGAAAGCATTCAAAATTATGACTAATGGCTGGAATAAAAATTAGACTAATATGTCTGAGATGACTGATTTATCTAGTTAATTTAATTTGTTCTCGGTCCTAGTCGGCGGAATATTAGATATGACGCTCAGCATTAAGTGATGTGTCTGTTAATCTCTTTAATCTAAATTAAACTTTGGTTAAAGAACTGAGATACACTTTCTAAATATAAAAGAAAAAAAAGATAATGTATTTTGGAGAGAGAGAGAGACTGAAACTACTATTATAATTTTTGTGTAGTATAAATGAAATTATTTGTTTGTAATTAAGCACAAAGCTACACAATGGGCTATCCGTGCTCTGCCCACCACGGGTATCGAAACCCGGATTGTAAGTCCGCAGACATACCGCTTTGCCACTGGGGGGGGGGGGATTATTTGTACCCCGCTGGTTTCCTATGGGGGGAAAAAGAAGTTTTTTTTAGGTCTGTGTTGTTGGGTCTAGAGTTTTCTTCTGGTTATAGACAGGACCACCGAGAGAGCGGAGAGGCTGGGAAGGTTTCCATGGGACCCTAGAGCAGGCAGAGGAGAAATTAATTAGGAAAAGGGGCCGACATAACAATGCGACCCATGAAAGCTTCTCGACGGTCCTGGTTATATAACTATGGAAATTTAGAAGATGAGATAATAGAATGAATAATATAGCCAGGTAGATGGCTGTTCTATAGGATCTAGACAATAATTACGAGGTTAAAAAAATGTTTTTCCTAATTTTTTTCTCCATATTTTCATTTACTGTATGTTACGGGTTTAGAGAATGAGAAAACCAGTTACAATGGAAAACTTCATTAAAATACGGTTGTGTTAAAATGGCTGACATTAGATCCTAATAATCTTTATCTTTATAGGTGTGGAGCAAGGAAGTAGTAAGGATGCTGTTTGTCGCCATGACAACGGATATTTTCAACACGATGATTATTGCGATTATTATTACGAATGTATAAATGGCGTTGCTACCTTACAACTTTGTCCAAATGGTCTTGTATTTGTTGGAAAAGGTCGTGGTTTACTTCAAAGTTGTGATTACCAAAAACGTGGTGGTTGTCCCGACGGAGTGCGAGTAATGGGACGTAAGTAAAGTTGGTTTCTCTAAAAAATATTAGAAATACTAATAACAAAAGCATAAATAACGTAGAAATATACAAACGCCTACGAGTACAATTAATAAGATATTTTACCTTAAAAAATCAGTAAACTACGTTGATTATAACCATAACTTAAGTCATAATCTAATGACTTCAATTGTTTATAACAAACTAATCAACGCTCTATTATGCTCATATATCAATACAGGAGAAAGCTACATTGATTAGAATACATATAATCTTTAGTATGGTATTCTCGCTGTTAACAATATTTTCGGACGTAATCCCAACAACATCATATGACAGCGTTTGCCAAACTTTTGTCATTCGTACCCCTTTCAATAACTGTGATTTCTTGCGCGACCCCTTTTAATACACATTAAAATACTATATGTGTTGTAGTAATTACTTTTATTTTATTGATGAAAAACTTACTGAAACAATTTTGTATTATTGAATATGCTGTGTTGAATATGCCCTGATAGCTCCCCCTCCTTCCACAAGAGATCATTTTCGCCCCCCTTGAGGCGTACCCTACACCTTGGGAAACGCTGTCACACGAGATTCCGCCAGCTTAATATCCATATACTAAGCTAATAATTCAAAATAAACTTAGAATATATATATATATTTAAAAAAATCAAACAGTAATTGAAAACTAGTACAACATATTATCACCAATAGGATTTAATGAAACTAACTATACAGTAATTGAAGTAGGTCATTATTTATAAAACCCACAAAAACACCAGTTATTTGCTCCTAAGATCCACCAATACTTTAAATGTAGGCCCGGCATGGCCAGGTGGTTAGGGTGCTCGACTCACAATCTGAGGGTCGCGGGTTCGAATCCCCATGACACCAAACATGCTCGCCCTTTCAGCCGTGGGGGCGTTATAATGTGACGGTCAATCCCACTATTCGTTGGTAAAAAAAAGTAAGCCAAGAGTTGGCGTTGGGTGGTGATGACTAGCTGCCTTCCCTCTAGTCTTACACTGCTAAATTAGTGACGGCTAGCGCAGATAGCCCTCGTGTAGCTTTGCGCGAAATGCAAAAAAAAACAAACAAACAAACTTTAAATGTACTTACTTATACGCGATCACGTATTTGCAGTAAAGCACATTCAAACACCGATAAAGGTTACAAGACAGAGTAAATGTCATACAAAAACTAGATGTACTTGCTCAGGGTTTCCGAAAGTGTTCTGTTTCGAGAGTAAATAGAATCAAAATAAACAAATATTTTAATACCTTGCTTTTGAAGTTTATATGTTATGCTGTGTTGTAACCTACAGAGTGCACAATTCTTCTCGTGCATGCACACGTTTTACTGCCGTCACGACAATACAAACTGCAACGTTAAATGTCCCTTATATGACGTCATTTTTCTGTCTACTGACAGTCAACATTCTACTGTATAGTGAAGCGAGTGGTTAAAACAGGTAACGCCTCCAGGCAGCCCCCTTTCTGTGAAATAAGCAGCCAACTGTGTGAATTATATCAATGCCCTTTCAGTGATAACCTAAAAAATCAAAACACCAATACGAACATTTTATCTGTAACATAAATAACAGTAATAAATTTACACATTAGAACGAAGTGATTAAATAAAAAACGATCATTTATTCTTATGGTTACTGTTTCGTGAAAAGCTACTCGAGGGTTATCTGCGTTAGACACTCTTAATTTTGAAGTGGTAGAATAGAGGGAAGGTAGCTAGTCCTCACCGCCTAACACCCAACTTGTGAGTTATACTAATCAAATATTGGAATTTGACCATCACTCTTATAACGCACCTTCCCAAAGTTAGAGATCGATTTTTTCGAGAGTAACGGGGTGGGAACCACACATCTACAGTCTGCCAAATAACACTGCGCTTCACACTTTCGAGCTGTACATGCATTATGATAATAACGATCAAATGCCACTATTCAATTAAGAGTAGCTAACGAGTTGGCGGTGGGTGATGTTGATTAGCTTCCTTTCTTTTAGTCTATCACTTCAAAATTAGGGATGGATAATGCAGATAGCTCTCTAGTAGCTTTGTACGAAATCAAACAAATAAAGAAAGAAAATCCAATAATTTTTGTTATTATTTTGTAAAAATACTTAGAAAAAATTGACAAGCTTCTCATGAGTTGATATTGTGTTTCGTCTCTTTTAATCAAGACTTATGGCTCTTGAGTTGGCGGTGTGTGGTGATGGCTAGTTGCCTTCCCTCTAGTCTTACACTACTAAATTAGGGATGGCTAATGCAGTTAGCCCTCGTGTAGCTTTGCGCGAAATTTTTTTTTTTCGTGACCTTTACCCTCCAAAAACTAGTCACTTCTAAATTGGGTTTTAGTTCAAATGTATACCAACTTTTGTCCAAATCCATTTAGCCATTTTCGAGAAATCTTGCTGACAAACACACACACACACACAGGGGCGAAAACATAACCTCCATCCACTTCGGTGGCGTAGGTAATTAACCCACGCAACTTTTCTTAGAATGTCTCAATAATTCAAAGAGTATTCAGAATAATTAGCACTATCTAAATTGGCCAATAATCTTATAAAACCAGAAATAAACAGGAATTTACACTTTACTTATAGTTAAATTTAGAAAAACAAAGCTTTTGTTTCTTTTTTGTGTCGGAAACTAGTGAATTACTCAGTAGAGTGCATACCTCCGCCACCGCAACATTAATCATATTAGGCTCTCAAAAAATAAGAAAATGTGTCCAATGTCCGTCGTTATCAACAAACACTAACCATTTTTAGCAGGGCAATGGGGAATAATATTCTACGTATGGCCACCAAGTTTCATGAAAATCCAATCATTTTTGACTGAGTTATAAAGCAAAAATAGTGTAAAACATCGGTCCCCATGGGATTGGGGGAAATCCTGACTGTAAAAAAGGCATACGTTTTCCACCAGAAAGATAAATTTCTTTTTCGTACACCGTCTACTTTTTTTTCTTATGGAATCTCGTGTTTTCAAATATAACTGTATAAAACTGTTTTAGCCTTAACTATAATTCTTATTATATTACTTACAGAATCACCTATCCAGACGGAGAATTGTGATTGGTTATGGGGACGATTCCCTCACAAAACTAGCTGTACAAGTTACTTGGAGTGTTGGAACGGAACGTCTACCAACCACAAGTGTGGATACTCACTTCTTTACAACACAAAGAGCGAATCCTGTGATTGGCCTGAAAACGTTCAAGGCTGTCAGCAACACCGTAAGTAAAATTTAAACAAGATTCAATAATGTATATTTGGTGCTGCTATGTTTGATCTAATATCTGTTTTTTTGAAAATAAGCTGCTAGCGGGGGACAAACAAACATGAAAAATCATAGTTACTAAAACAACAAAAGAATATTAAAGAAAATCAAAACCTTGCCTAGGCACATTTAGATTACTTGCTTATGTTTGCACGGAAAACTGCATAATGGGCTATCTACTCTGTACCCAACACAGGGATTAAACTTTGAAATTCACTGTTATAAGCCCTGATGCATATTGCCGAGTCAGTGAAAGATCATTTAGATTAATAACGCAGTTAAGTATTGTTTATTTATTCAAAAATTAGTAACATTTCTTTAAAATTGGTAATATTATTTCACTAGGAAGAATATTTTGATTTCCATTTGAAAATTAATTTTTGGGTCATTTTCCCTTAAATTCTAAGCTAGCAGGGAGTAAACATATATGGAAAAGCAGAGTTAGTAAGACAACAAACAAGCATTAAAGAAAAGCAAAAGCGAATCGCTTGTTTAAGAATATGTATATACTTGTTTTAGCGCAAAGCTACACAATAGACTATCTACGTACTGCTCAAATCATTGGAAGTCCGTAAACTTACGACTGGCTCACTAGGGAACACCCTGAATACTTATGAAACTTCTTTACAAAAAAAAAAAAAACTTTATTCGTTTGTTTGTTTTAGAGCAAAGCCAATTTGGGGTATTTACTGTTTCCACAGCAGGGAATTGAACCCCGAATTTTTCCTGTCCCACCGGTGGAAAAAAGTTGATTAAGCATTGAATTTTCTGAATACGTTAGAGTTAATATTCGAAAACAACTCCGAAATCCGAATATAAAGTCCTTAAAATACGTCTTTCTAGACAACGCTAGGGTCGTTTCGAGTTTACACATTTTGTGTATTTTTGGTTTCACGAACATTATGTTTATAATTGCTTTCAATAATTATTTTTCAAGTAAGTTACCGTCTTAAAATGTTGTAGAAGATGTGCTGAAAAAAACCTTTAAGTGGTTATATAGCTGGTTAAATAATTTTTTTTATAATATATACTGAATGAAGTAATTCTTCTGTCATATAACTTAATTCTACAAGGCCTTAAAAATGTCTTCAAGTTCTTGTTATAAATATAAGATTAGAAAAAAAAATTAAGAAATAAATTCATTTCTATTTGAAGTATTTCAAAGTTATATCATAAAGGTTGCACTTCAAATATTGTAACAACATTGATTGCTTCTACCTGGAGTCGTCATGGAATTTAAATATATTGTTACTCAATACAATGAAAATCGACAAAAGATTGGTCAGACGTTTTAGTTTATTCGAACTTATTGTGTTGATTAGAGAATTAAACGTCCTTGTATGCGAGAAATGGGTATCCTTACAAATTTTGTACAATAGTTTTGGAATTATTAGGCAACGAAATTATTTAATAGCTGAGTCATTGCATACCTCCCTCCTAATCATAAGCTGATTAATATAAAATTATAATGTCATACGTTGAAACTTTTACGTCGTTTAATTAGAATCTTATACTAACCACATTTCGGTACTATTAAAAAAAAGATACATTTACAATTTATGTTGACTATTTAATAATATATATATATATATTAATCTTAAAACTTTTTTTTATATAACAATAATCTCAGCAACTTTAGTTTTTTGGTATTACCTGACAGCAATAATGGTTTAAAAGTTTAAATTAAATGAAAAGCAATGTTTTATATATTTCTATGTAGCCACCTGTAAAAAAATTCCCAACGGGCCAATCGCTATTGAAAAGAGCTGTTCCAGATACATCTTGTGCAGTGGAGGTTACCCCTACATGCAACGATGTGCAGCCGGTCTCGCTTTCGATCCCGACTTTCTCAGTTGCAAACTGGCCGAGACTGTTCCGGGCTGGTAAGTTATCTAATACTATGTCATTTGTTAAAGATACAAACCTATTATATTGATTCATATTTTCAATGAGTGTTCTCTTTTTCCACTGTCAGGCTAACGATGGAGTTTTCAGACTAGTGCATGGAATTTTATCAAAGTGTTCATTAGATATCACTTTGATGTGATGTGTGTTTGCTTATTTATAAGTTAAGTACAAAGCAACACAATGGGCTATCTCAGACACACACCCCAATGAAAGAATATACCATTCCAAGCTTTCACTTGTTGTTAAACAAATGTTTAAACAACTCTATTTATTCAGTGGGCTATCTGTGCTCTGCCCACCACGAGTGTCGAAACCCGGATTCTAGCGTTTTAATTTCCGCAGACATACCGCTGTGCCTGTGGGAGGCAGGTGTAATGTGAAGTAACATTTAAGTTCTGTCGTATAATACGATGGGGAATATAGTACACACGACAAGTGCTGTGTATTCAGTAACTGTTCTTCTATCACATTTTAGATACATTTGCTTGTTTTTAAAGGAACGTAGGAGAGAACGGTATACAATCTCGTTCAAATGAAAGAAAAAATTGTATTCATAGTTTTAAGTTAGAATCATTACCAATAACTTTTAAATAAAATATTTAATCAGCTTTACTTATTAATAGAGGAACGTTAAAAATTTAGAAAAACTCAATTGATAAATAGGAATAAATAGCAACAAATAGCTAAAAGAGTATGTATAAACTTAGTAAATGAGATAAACTTATAAATTAATACAACGAGACGTTATTATGTCCGTTCTTTATTCTCTTTTTACAACGTATAACACGATCATATCGTTCTTGATGTTAAGGCTCAGAAACGGTATGTAAGTGTCGCTTAGCTGCTGCGGTTTGGGGTGTGGTAATTCATGAAAAACGCACCCCGCAGTCACTCGATCTCTGCAACAACAACAACAACAAAGCATGCAGCAGAATAGAAAAAAACAACAAAACAATTTGTTACAAAAGAGAAAAAAAGTGCAAGTGATTTTCGAAAAAGAATGACTATTGTAAAACAAGGTTAATGTAAATGAATCTGAAGAGTTACAGTGCAACACATACGATTAGTGAAACAACGAAGAAACTTCCACAACTAACTTTGTTTCAGAAAAGTGGGCTCTATTTCTTGGAACTTGTAGCAAATCTCAAGTTAAAGCATTAAAATTCCATTAACATTACACGTTCTTTGTAGCTGACCAATCAGAAAAATAGCATCGCATTGTGGAAAAATTCCCGCTTTAAGTAAAAGTCTCAAGGTATCCTCCATACACAAGATTATGACACAATGCAAATATCCAGTGGAATTGTAGAAACATTTCTTGACTGGTCAAGCTACAAAAAAGGAACACCTCAGACTGAATTTAACACGACCTCAGTCGGATTTAAAATGTTCCAAATCAGAACTTAGAATAATTTAAAGAGTTTATAAATGAGAAATATACACTGAGTGGTCACAAGTAAATAGACACCTAATTTTTCGTCATTTAACTGATTTTTGCTAACTAATTTCACAGAGCACTATATACATGAAAATGGTCCGCACACTAATTATCTTGTGCTACAACAT